ATCGGATGGACGCTGGTAATGTGCTGGTAAAATGCAGAGAGCAGGGTGACATAAATGCAAGGGGCCATCAACCAACAATGGACAATATGACATTACCTGACTCGGGAATTAAACTCCTCGGCCCCTAAGGAACCTCGTTCCTCAGTATTGTCATTTTCCTGACTTTGTAAATAACTATTATTGACACCAAGTTTTTATTACTACTTGTAGCCTGGCCAAATCTTTGCACGTAATTTCGGTGAAGCATAAAGTCATAAAGGCAAAATGAATCGTCTGGACGAGATACATCTACTGATGATCGATGTCAAAACTTTCAGTGCAAATATTTGAAGAAAGGTGTCGGAAGAGGGTAGGTACCCTCAAAAAGCGAAAAGATAGTCTAAACGAGATATATCTCATATCTTAATGACTTCTTCTAGTGTTATATAGCGGCGTAGATTTTGAATGTAAGCCAAGCGGCCTTTTTTAGATTTTTATGACGTGTAAAGAGCTCCCTCCCCATTGCTATACTACCTAAATTGTGCACAATTTATACTTGTTTTTTATTTTTCCTGAACATTTCGTTACTTTTCGTGTTCCTCGGAATTCTTCTTTACGCGTCCGTCGGTCCCTCCAAGAGACCAAATAAAATTATGATTTTAAATATTTGTTTAAATATAAATTGTCCACCTAAATTAAAACCACTAAATCTTTCAACTAATCTGTTCTACTGTATCTAAAATATTCATATTTTCGTTGGTCCACATGTATGATAGGTGACAATTAATTAAATATAGCGTAGCGTCTTTTCGCCTTTAGTGCAATTTCCTGGTTTGTAATCACGTGCAAATTTTCATATAAGCACATTATGTATTTAAGAGTTCAATTACTCTCAAATGTTATTTAATGTTCGTTTAATGGTTAACTTTATTTTTAAATGAAAAGTAGCCCAAAGTAGCTTAACTTGACTTTTAACCATTCTTATTTGGTTCAAGAATAACTATAGCTTAATGTACCAATTTACAGTCTGGGCTAAAGCTTCCCTATTTCAAGGTAACTTTTGGTTCAAAAAACCTGATAAATATCAATCATCAAAAAGTCGCAGGCAAAGTGATACAAAATACCATTTTTCAGCATTCAGTCAAAGATATGCAAAACCGAGCAGCACGGTGGTTCAAATTCGTGACTCACCTGCATTTGGATCTCCGTAACGGTGGGAAATACAGTGTACCTAGGTTAAATTGAGGCAATGTTGAAAAAAAGAATTCATTTGAATGCATCGCGTCATTATAGCCCTGTTGATTCAGTAAGATCTAGTTACCCGTGAATGTTTTGTTGAGAAATGAATGTCAAACTTTTGATTTTGAAGTTTTTCTTAGAAATTTATGTTACTTTTTTGTTCTCCTATCTCATTCCGTAAAATTCCAATATATAGCACCCATACGAAATAAGAAAGTAGTAGATAGCATGTCGCTCCTACATCTAGCGTGCTATGGAAATGGTAATAACAGATTCAGATTTTCGGTCACGAATTTGAACCACACTGGTTCAATTTAAAAAAATATTGCCAAGCATCTTAATTCACTTGCACTACAAGCAGCATTGAATCAAAGCCATTTGGTAAGACCTTAGTGTAAAAAATAAGTAGATACACTATGGTAAGACTAATGCCCGCAAAAGTGTTAGCAGTTTTGGAGCACAGCAAATCTGCCATCTTCAGCGAACAACGCGCATTCTTCAGCCACAAGAGTTCCAGTGGCTTCTCTCTTGCTAATTCGGGAACGTAACTCTATAAACGGAAAAATCATTAAGTATAACACAAAATTAGTGTCATATACTTGATGCGCCTTCAGATTAGTCTGAGGGTTTGAGATCGGCCTTTAGACATCGTATAAAGTTTCGTTTTTATTTAATGTGTTTTCTAAAGGAGGAATATAAAAGAATCATTTACTTCGAAAACACCTCTTCTCCTGGAAGTGGATTTTGAAATGGGCACATCAACTTAAATGTACCGCTCTTGTTAATTTTTTGCACTGATCCTGCAATAGTCTACGCAGTAAAGCACTATATCCGGACTGAACGGACTGAAAAGGTATACGGACGTTCTTCTAACTTTTCCAAAGTGGCTACTATAGGTAACCAATTTCCTATAAATCAAGAATATCCTTCAAATAATATACTTACCTAATTTTAGTAGGTAAAATTTGCATTTTTTTTATGTTTCAATACATAGAAATAGTTTTTTGGTATGCCTTTTCTGATTTTGTAACATATTAATATTAAATCTCAAAACGGCGTAAGTACCAGGAAACGGCGGGGCGGCGGTGCAAAAAGGTTTTAATTTCAACAAGATTTCAAATTCGGACGTGCACAGGAGACTTATATAATAAGAAAATTATTACTCCACTCTCCTATTCGATAAGGTCCTAAAGACACGTAATTTTCAGGAAATCATGGAGTACTTAATGTTATTAAAAGCGAGTAAAAGAAACGTAGGTACTTACATCAATACTAATTTTTGAATAAGGGCCGTGCGTAGGTACTTAATTTTCTAGACGGCAGTAGGTAAAACAATTGATTAGCAAACTTAGCCTGCGCTTTCTGTATAGGTACAATGCGCGTATTTAATTGTTCACACAAGAACTGGGTGTCATTAGAAGTAAAATATTTGTAGATAATATTATAGTCGTATGTTGAGCTCCATTTGGCCCAGGAGCATCAGGGAATCGATTTTTTATTTAGCTACCAAATGCCAAAATATGTCATGCATGTTTAGATACAGCTTATACTGTCTGTCCTGTCCATCTGAGGATTTGAGATCTCAGCACTCAGACCACATTTATTTAATTGGTGTAAGTATGTAGGCCGGACGAAATGAAAGAATTGTGTTCAAATATCATAGGGGCATTTTGTTTTTAATTTACATTTCTTTTTTAACTACCTTAAGTGTTATATATATTTTTATCGGTTTAGACGAGGCCCACATGATAATTTACGCAAATTTTGTATAGTTCAGACCCCCATTCGGTTATCCCCAAATTTACAACTATAGGTAGTTGCTGGCGACGCGTTTCTCCCAAAAACATACAATTTTGGGACTGTTTTTGGTTTTTGTCTTACATCTTAAATTATGAAAGTTGCAATAATCGATTCGAAAAGCTTTATTAGGTAAATATTATTCAATTATTAAAGGACAATCTGATTTGTAATAGTTTCAGCCCATCCCCCGTGGGCACAGCACTTTATTAAAACTTGGATGTTTTGGAAAATGTGTAATTGAACCGTGCTCAGAAAACTTTATCAATAAAATACATGACTCATCTGAAGAATGTACCTACTTTGCTGATTTGACTATCATAGGTGCAGAATTCAGGGAGATCTTGGTCGTACCAGCAATTTTAAAAATTCCTATACCGCCTATGCATTTAAAATTATTTAAAAATAGGTTTTTCAAAAGCAAAATGTTTGATATATTGCATGATGGGTTGCGCCTAAGTACACTAATCAATTAAACAACTAGCAAGCTAAATTGTGATTCTTTTGGTATATAATTACCCAATTATCTATACCTCTCTCTCAACGTTCTTGGTAATTATACAGAGTAGTGAAAAAAATTTAAACGTTCAAAGCAACTATCCAAATACTTCGAATAGGGAATACATTTTTCGCGCATCTACACGTAGTGGCTTTAGGGTAGCGAACGAAAACTTTTTCAAACCCAATTAACGACCAGAATAAAGTACTGCATGACAAAATAATAAGTATAATTTCTATTGTAGTTGCGATGCGAACTTATATCGGGCGATCAAAAATGAGTTGCTGTCGAGTCGCCTTTGGAAGTTCAAGTTAAGTACGATTTCCCATGTAAACAAAAATTCCAAAGGTGACTCGACAGCAACTCATTTTTGATCGCATAGTATCTCATCGCGCGGGAAGGCATTTAGCCTGTCTCGAGAAGTTTTCTTTGATGAACCAAAAAATTCTAGAAAAAATCTTCCGCGGTCGACTATTGTATCACCTAATCGCGCCATACAAAATCTAAAGTTTTCGTGACATTAAGACTTACAACGGTCCTAATTATTTTTCTTGCGCTACGCCCATATTTTTACGTTATTTTTAATCCGATAAAAGTGTTTGCGAGCCAACTTTCAAAGAGGTGGAAAAGTTTGAGAACGGCACACGTTTGCGAGACGTCCGCGGAAACGGTACCGACGCGACGCGTGCTTACGTTGTATTGCGACGACGTCACCTCCAGAACTAATAGGTAGCCTGGGAAGACGTCGGCGCCTCGATAGACGCCTGGACCGGGAGCATCGATCGCGTTTATACCCTCTATAATATTCTATAAGTGAATGTTTTCACTTAAGTGATACGAGAGGTTTAAAGCTTGCCAGCGTCCTTAAAATTAGATTAATTGCCATAATTCATTTGAAATTATTTTTTTTAAATTGGTGTTGGTGTTTTTCGTGTCATGGGGTTGTCAGCTTACAGTTAGTGAGTTCGCCACTAGATGGACTTGTCTCAGTTTTTTATTATTGTACTAGATGTGCAATTACACAGCAAAATTGCTTTTGTATTGTTTTTCGTTTAACAGTTTTGTGTTGGTTTTTTTCCTTGCATTATTATTCAACTGTAAGTATACCATAATGATTGCGTCACGATGTAGGAATGTTGTAATACTTGTACGTGGGAGCTTGTTGTTTCGTAAGTGTTAAAGCAGGATAGTTTGTTGGGTGTAAACGGGAGTTTGTAGTTATACAAAACATCCGCGATTCCCATCTAAAACTAAACGGGACTCCCATTAGAAGCGCATGCGTTGCTTGTTACGATTTCAAAAACCACGTTTGTAATATTATTCTTTTATAAATAACCAAATATATAGGGTCTAAGGACTCTTTATCACAGACGTTTTGGAATTAAACGATACTTTCATTGGTTTACCGTGGGGTAAAATTTCGATTGTGAAGAATTTGGCGCTGCATTTTTAAAAAAAGTGAGCGCATGCGCCTTGGAAAAGAGCCAAGTTTAGATTTAGGTGCAAGTAACAGCCGTGAGTTTAGTTGACAGTTTTCCAAAAATTTCACATCCACGAAGTTTTTCTTATTTCTCGTGCTATTAAAATTAAGTACGAGAATTAATTAGGACGTTTAGTGAAAATCATGATCAAGTGTTTAGGTATGTCCAAAACTAAAGGTCTATTATGTGCTTGTAACATCTGCACATCATCCTCATTTTTAGTTTTATTGCATTTGTAACTTCAATGTCGTTCGTTCGTATGTGATTTAGTCCTTGTAATGGAAGTTCGTGTACATTCCTTTGTGTGTTTACGTTTATTTCTTCATAGTTTGTAAGAAAATTTCATTATTTTTAGATCTTGAATCAGTTCTTAATGCAGAACCAATTAACAGTTACTAGAATTGTTGATTTTTGCGCAGATATCAAGCAATCTGCTATCAATATCAATCTGTCAGTATTTCTTAATTTCATACAAAATTACACCATGTTACATTTTAGTCAGACATCAAAGTATCAGAGCACATTGAAGAGAAAAGGTAATGAGTGTCACTGGTAAGTGGGTGTGCTGTGAACGCATCGTCTATGGCAGATCCAGCTAACACACCCGCTGCTGACAGCACGAGCCGCCGAAAGCGTGCGTTGCCTGTGCAGCCACGTACGGAAGCCAAACGTCTTCGCACGTCCACACAAGAAGCTCGCGCTTCTCAAAGTTTCTCTTCTCAAAACACACCTAAGCAATCCCAGGTAGTTGCGCTGATCATTAATCACAAATTAACCCTTGGCAATTTTAGATTAAAAGCCGCTCGAGGAGTAGCAGGCGTAGATCAAAATTGGTTGATGATCAAACCTCGTCGTCTCAATCCCAAGTACCAGACATATCGGCGAACAAACCTAGCTCTATTCCAGTCTTGAAAAATCGCCGTTCCATCAAACAAAAGGAAAAACGCAAACCCGAACAGAAAGGTGATTCACAAAGAGACTCGTCATCAGATAAACATTTAAAAACAACCAAGCGCCAGTCTCTAAATAATCTTAAAGCAAGTACAACCTCCGTGGCAAGTGTAGAAAGTAACAGTACTACATCGTCCACTTCGAGACACCGTAGTAACAAAAACTTGCGAGCTTCAGAACCGAGCACCAGCACCAGCAAGATCAGTGATAAAAATAGTGTTAAAACAAAAGTTAAAAATAAAACCAAATTAGACACTAAAATTAAAAAGGAGCCTAAAAGTAGTAAACGCATATCGGAAAATTTACGGTCGAAGAGTGCAAAAACGGAGGCGAGCTGCTCGAGTTTAAACGCGACATATCCAAGTTCAACCCACAGATATCCGTCGGCGCAACGAAGAATAACTGTGGATCAATCTGTGCCTCTTCAGTTGATACGTAAGTCGGGCGAAAAACGTAGAACGCGCGAATCCAAAGAGCTGGGGGTTAGTAATAGTCAACCGGTCGCGCGGGAGGAGAACGAGCCTTCTCGCCTCTCCCGCGGTGGAGCTGTGTTGCGACGCAGCACGAGAAATAAGGGTAGGTTTTGTCGGGTTTGCGGAGGGGCATTGCTAATTTTCAATCGTTTTAGGGCACGGCGCAACAACGGGTTCCTGTGCGAGCTCGAGTGGTGCGAGTGGCAGCGGCAGTAGCTCCAGAAGAGCGACCCGCCAACATAAGGTGGGGGCCGCGGCCCCTGCACCACTCTCTACGTCGGCATCTCATACGGCCACAATGGCCGCCGATCAACCGGAAATGCCTAACAATAGCTTATCAGGTAATTATCTCAAACATTCGATTAAATTGTGATTCATTGCTTTGTGGTTTTGTGATTGTTTTATTTATTTCACTCAAGAAAATGTTGATAAAGTTTTAGCGATGATTATGAATGAATCAGGCAACTCAAATGCAAGTTGTGACAAAGCTTTGCTCTAATTGAGGCTCCATATTATTTTCCTCACTTGTTGACATAGCATTATTAAATGGTAAAAGAATTACGCAATTACAAACAATTCCAAAAGGAAAAAAAACACTGAGAGACAAATTCAAATACAATAACCATGTTTGTGCTTATTCGTAAATAACCCCCCATATTTATACACTTAATAAATTGAAATATTTTCATATACAGGGTGGTGTTTCTGTTGCAAAATTGTCGGATTTGTTGGAAGTTGAAGGCAGTCAAGAAAAGATTACTTTACCTACTTTGTTATTATTTAATCTCAGAGGCACTGTCCTGATTTGGTCCCTGTGCTGCAGTCCCGAATGGGAAATAGCAGATAACATTTTGTACACCGACCATCCATTTAATGTGTAAATTCTCGGAAATCAACGAAATATCCTTGGACATCATGGAATATCCTTGAATACCTGTGCCGTGGATATCTGATATTTCTTTGGAAAGCTGCTGATTTCCTTTAGAATCTACAGATATACACGTAAATGCATTGCAAAGCTTGTAACCAATGGGTAGTGTTGTAAAATTCACGTAATTTATTATCATTGTGAATATTTGAGAATTTATGGTAATATTCATCCTTTACAAAATATAATAATTATACTTACTATGCTATACTAATTACAATGCACAAAAGACCGAATAAATCTTTTAATAAAGTTATGTTTTTTGTTTTAAAACAATAAAACTCTTAAATTATTTATTTAATATACTTTAAAAAAAACTTTTTAGTCTCCGTTCATATGCCAAATCAAAGCTTTAAAAATTCAGACAAATTAAAGAAAACTCACTCAAAAATTCAAAAATAAGAACCAAGATTCAAAAGCTCACAATGTAAGTACGTCAATGCAATGACAAATCTTATCTTGCTCTCTTTCTCATTATACCGCTAAGGCAAAAAGTTCATGATCTTTTTTGCTGGGAAAACGGCGAAACATATTGTCTTAAAAATATCAAAGATCTTAAAAACCCTCTATTTTTTTGATAATCGCGCACAAGATATACAGGATGTTACCTTAGGAAAAACTTTTATCCACGGGAATATTGAAAAACGGTTTTTAGGTACATTTTCGTCTCCGTTTCCAAAAAACTTTCCTTGCGTTTGGCCGTTTTCACGGATCTTAGTACACAGGGTGTTTCGCGCAAACCGTTACCCAAAAGTATTCAGGTGCTCATTGAGAATTTATCTGAAAGTTTATACCAACATAGTTTTTCATGATCTATCGAAAGAAAATATTAACATGATCATTTCGCATGTTGATTTTACCGGATGTGGATAGCAACTTGTTTTAAATAGAACATCCTATATTTTAATACATTTTCAAAATCTGCGTCGATTGATACCACATTTCCCTATATCCATCATTGAAGGTTTAAGAGTTATTCTAGATTTATCAAAATTTTTGACGTTTGACTGCCTTCTTTGGACTGTGTACAGGGTGGTTCAAATTTGTGACTCACCACGTTAACCACGTTAAATGGGGGCAAAGTTGCCCCTTTTTGTGCTTAAAAAAAAAGCATTTGACATTTTTGAAAATATCTGAGCTAGGTATCACTGAAAAACTAAAAATGTCAAACGAGATGTCAAATTTCGTTTTTATTTTCTCTATGTTATACGGTGTAAATTGAACGGTTCCTTATAATCTTATAATGGCCCAATTATTTTCAGAAAATACTCTGTCGATTACCAACTTCTTATTTGCGTTTCTCATTTTTTACATTGATCATAGTCTGTACCTGTCTGGATCAAAATGACAAATTAATACTGTCCAAAATATTCTACAAAAATGAAGTTTAAAAATTAACGAGAGCAGAATAATTAAATTTTGGGGAAAAGGCTATGGATATTTTTGATATGCTCTTTGACTTTAATGATTTGCTTGCGTGCATAGGTATATTAATGTTCAGGAATTTACATTCTCTATTTTTTTCAACAGAAGAATTGCCGTCACCTCAAGAAGCTGCACAAGCTTTAGCCAGCGGTGGACCTTCCGGTCCAGGGGCAGACTCTGAAAGTGATGACAGCGAGGTTGGCCGTTTACAAGCTTTACTTGAAGCGCGCGGTTTACCGCCACATCTTTTCGGCGCGCTCGGCCCTCGCATGCAGCACATCTTACATCGAAGTATGGGCGCAAACAGCTGTAAGTATTTTTTTGAGATAGTCGTGGACAATTCTTATAGTGCTTAGTTTTTTCAGCTGTAACCAAGGCGCAGCAATTACTGCAGGGATTGCAAGCGTCGGGAGATGAAGGTCAGCAATTACAGGCGGTAATTGAAATGTGCCAGCTGTTGGTGATGGGGAATGAAGATACACTTACTGGATTTCCGATTAAGCAAGTCGTACCTGCACTAATCAGCTTGTTACAGGTGGAACACAACTTTGATATGGTAAGCCACATTGGAAAGTTTCTGAGCCCCATAAATATTAAAATTGTTAGATGAATCACGCTTGTCGCGCACTTACTTACATGATGGAAGCACTGCCTCGGTCTTCAGCAGTTGTCGTCGATGCGGTACCCGTATTTCTAGAAAAACTCCAAGTTATTCAATGCATGGACGTTGCCGAACAGTCTCTAACGGCTTTAGATATGCTATCACGTCGTCATTCCAAAGCGATTTTGCAAGCTGTAAGTTCAAAGTAAGTCCCGGATGATTTTAACGCCTTGTTTTCCAGAGGGGAGTGCAAGCGTGCCTCATGTACCTAGATTTCTTCTCCATCAACGCACAACGCAACGCATTATCCATCACGGCAAATTGCTGCCTAAATTTAACGTTGGAGGAATTCCAGTTTGTCGGCGAATCACTATCACTTCTCGCCAACCGACTTACGCAGCAGGATAAGAAAAGTGTCGAATCGGTTTGTTTGGCTTTTTCTAGACTCGTCGACAGTTTCCAATCGGAACCTTCCAAGCTGCAAGAGATCGCGGGAACCGATTTACTTACAAACTTACAACAGCTTCTTGTGGTGACGCCCCCAGTCATAAGCACCAACACGTTTATTTCTGTATTGCGTATGCTGTCGATAATGTGCGCTAGCTGTCCAGATTTAGCATTTATACTCCTCAAGCAGAACATAGCGGAGACCCTTTTGTATTTGTTGACTGGGTCAGTGGAAATCAATCAAGATGAAGTTGAACTAGTGTCCAGGTAATATTTTTAACACGAGGAATTAGAATTTTTTAGAAAATGGTACTCTCAACATGACCTTTTACACATCTGGCATTGACCAATAATGTGTTTCCATTATAACGGTCCAATTATTAGTTAAGTTCCGCGCATGCGCAGGCATGGTCTTTAACGCGCAAACTCGCTTGTTCAAATGATCACTAATTTTATTTTTGTTGTTTTGTCATGTGATGTTTTTTTAGTAACTTTTTAAACCCCTCCCCCCTGATGATACACGTGGTGAAGTTTAACACGCACCCCCCCCCTCTCCCACCCAGAATCACGTGCATCTTGATCTACATGCCAGTGTCCCTAGCCATCATAGTTACCTAACCGTATTATATCAATACATTTTTTGTAGACTTCTTTATTTACTCATCAGGCAACCACAAGAACTCTACGAAATAACATCTTTAATTGGAGAGCTTATGCCGAAATTACCGGCCGATGGTATCTTTGCTGTTGACATTCTACTTGAACGTCCATCAATTGTAAATAAGGAACAGCCCGCTTGGCAGTGGAGGGACGATCGTGGGACATGGCATCCGTACAGCACCGTCGATAGTCGCACGATCGAAACTGCGCACATCAGTGGCGACGACGAAGTCAGTTTACATACACTGGGTCGCACCTACACCATCGACTTCCATTCAATGCAGCAAATTAACGAAGATACCGGTACGTCGAGGCCTGTCCAACGACGTTTTACACCCACAAGCATCGTCTCCGATACTTCCCAAAGTGGCAGTCAAGTAAACGGGGAAGCGCACGTCGCCTGCTTAAGGGAAGAAAATGGATTGGCCGCATCTTTCATTCGCTCCTTATTTTCCGTTCTCTACGAGGTCTATTCGTCCAGCGCCGGTCCGGCGGTTCGTTGTAAATGCCTTAAAGCCCTCCTGCGCATGGTTTACTATGCGTCTCCCGAATTATTGAAAGAGGTCCTAAAGAATCAAATAGTTAGTAGTCACATTGCCGGTATGATGGCCTCAAGTGATCTTAGAATAGTAGTCGGCGCTTTGCAAATGGCCGAAATTTTAATGAACAAGTTACCAGAGGTTTTTGGTGTGCATTTTCGAAGAGAAGGTGTCATGCATCAAATCACTCAACTCGCCGATCCCGAGGTGCCATTGGGCGTCAGCCCGCCAAAGTCTTCGAACTTAAGTACAACATATTTTTCGTCGATGACCCTGAATGAATCGCAACCCGGTCCTTCGCAAGCTTCGGGGAGTAGTATTGCAACTACGAATGGAAATGCGACAATCACTCCAGCTGGTACACCAACAGGACAGATTGTTTTTACGTCGACTTCAGATGGTGTTAGGGTAAGTAGTTTGTTCGGGATATGTAAATTTGTGGTACCACTACATACATATCAAATATGTAATACATTTGTGATTTCTACTGTATCATACAAATTGTATGCTCTGTAGTCCGGTCAAAATAGACATACTTCGCATTTTTTTTAACTTGGTTTCCCCGGTAGGCCTACTCTACAATGTGTTATGACGGAGATTTATGGGAAAATGCTGTATTTACGGCATGATTTTGTAACAGTCTCAGTCAAGAGATGTATTTTCGACATTATTATTATTATGACCCATTCATTTATGCACAAGAAAAAATTATTTATGAAAAAGTTTACGATTGTCAATTACCACCAAGGGCTCTTTTCACTACCTTATCCTCATATACCGACCACCCTTTGTATGTACAGCAAAAATATCACAAAATGCAGATACGAAAAGGATTTTTATTTTACAACATTGTATTCTAAAAATTTAAGTAACCCAAAAATTTATTGATATTCAGAGAATAAGTATAGTCAAAATACCAGTACTCCAACATATTTGGTTGTTTGTTAATACTTTTAATTCGCTGTAAAGGTTCGCTCTCCAAGTCCATCACATGTTCGTCTTAGCGACGTCTTAAAAAGAAAGCGAGGTAATAAACGTTCGGGTGGAAGTCGGCCCAAGGCACGACACGAGGATCTCCCACTGTCACCTTCCCTAATGCAAGATCTCTTTACAAAAGCGGCATCTTTGGGCAACGCAACACCAAGGTATGTCAGTGATCAAGACAAAATAAAAGTCCAAATAGCGCAATAGTACGCGTAAATAATGATTACTTTTTTAAGCAATTCTCGTCTACGTTACTCGGGGTCAAGTTCGAAAACCACCAGTTTTCTGTCGAGTTTGAATCCGGTACGTTGGGGCAGAAGTATGAATTCGTCTTCCCACGATCGCTACTCCAAAGATTCGCTTAGTAGTTGCCTTGGAAAGTCTGTGTCGAATTCTAATCTTACGGCTGGTAGTCGCGAAAAGACGCGAACGTGGATTAGAGAGCAGGTTGGATAACGTTTCAAATTTTCACTTTGGCATTTACGCGTTTATTTTTTCAGGCTTCAAAATTCATAAGTTCTTATTCCTCGAACGAAGTGTCTGGGTCACCGCATCCGGCAATGAATGTGCTCTCGTGTCTGACGGCTTCAATTCAAAAGTTATCGACGATCGACTGCAGACTAGCCTTAGAAGAGTTGCGTGAAATTCTAATCGAGTCTGATATTTCTCCATTTGAAGTTAACCATTCGGGCCTTATTAAAGCTTTATTAAATTATTTAGCCGACATAGAAGGACCATTCGACCGTGATCAACGATTACGAATTTTTTTAAATGTGTTTGCCGCGTTACCATTAGATGCCAGTGCGATCGACGTAACAGACATTAATTCGGCCTGGATGGGCGCGCTCGTGATGAAATTAAGTGGTTGTGTATCTCAACTTGAACAATTTCCGGTTAAAGTGCACGATTTACCCGCAAATTCGGGAGCGGGGCGTGGCGGAACTAGTGCTCTTAAGTTTTTCAATACGCATCAGTTGAAAGTAAGTCGCCGTCTCGCGATTTTACTCTTTTTAACATTTCTAATTACAGTGTAATCTTCAACGCCATCCTGATTGTACAAATTTGAAGCAGTGGAAGGGGGGCACTGTTAAAATAGACCCCCTCGCATTAGTGCAAGCAATAGAACGTTATTTAGTTGTTCGAGGTTATGGTAGGATAAGAGACAAAGATAGCGCCGATAGCGATGAGGCGGACACCGATACCGATATTGATGATACAGTCGCAGCTATCGTTATTTCGCAGTCGGGGGCCAAGCATAAACTGCAATTTCTTATCGGTAATCACATTTTGCCATATAATATGACTGTTTATCAGGCTATACGACAATATAGCAATAGCGGCAACGATCAAAGCGAAACGGACACCGATAATGAAACTCCTTTAGGTAAGTTGTTAATTATTTTCTATTGAGGTGGTTAAATAGTATGGTTTTCCGCAAAAAAGGTTGATGTGGTCGATTCCACAAAAGCGCGTGTAGTGAAGGCTTAACTACCTATATAAATACATGTCACGGATTATGTGGTTCAATTTATTAATCAAAACTTAATTTGGGCAGAATTATGACAAGAAGCATTGGAAACGTTGTTCTCCGATAAAGTGGCAAAATTTACTTATACCATCAAGATCAAAATTGATACGTTACCTGAATTATACTTTTAAATCAATAAATACAATCAAATGCAGGTAATACGTCATCTGGTTTATTTATGATGCAAGCGTTATAGGCTACAATTTAACAAAATAAACACTTCCATGCAATTTTCCTAACTGAAAAACAGAGTTTTTCTCGTTTAATTGCTAGCCAACAGGTTTTCATTAATCAACCTCTTGTGCAATTATAAGTGATAAATGGAACTATAATTTATCCCAAAGTCTTACACGCAAACGATATCAACAATTGTTCAGAGAAACGCAAACGCAATTCAATTTATTAAGTATGTACAGAGTTTAAAGAAACGTACCTTTATCCTCAACTGGCTGGTCTGATGTGACACTTGAGCGTGCAGGTAAACGACTCAGGTTTCCACAATTATGGATAGGTATGAAGACGAAAGCATTATTTTGACAATGACAACAAAGGCATTCTAATACACACATCTGTTTTTTTTAGCGTAACACAACGAAGTTGAGGTAACGCTTATGTTATTCCGTCGTCTGTCTATCTGTCTGTTCCATCGAGATCTCGTCCCCTGGACCACCTAGAGACTACAGGTTTTCGGTCATTTGTAGTTGCAAAGGTCTATATTTTCCCGTCACTCATCATTTACATACTTTTCATATATGATGGCTGATTTTCAAAGATGGTGGGATACGCGTCTTCGGCAAGTTTAATCTGGTCTCGTGGAACTGTTAATACTGCATCATCTTATCTAGTCATCTTGTCTACCCGGATCATGAAAATGTCGGAGAAATGCTTTATACAAACCCTGGAGTAACTAGTAATTTCAAAATTGTCCCGGTGAATACATCTTGACCACTTTTTGTGATCGTCTTCATTTTTCGGAAAACGAAAAACCGCAAGGAACCTTGTCTCTTGAACTATAATTGCTTTTGCAACCAGGGACGCAGCACGTATTTGGCATTTTCTTACTTATTCTGTTCGAATACAGTTAATTTAAGTGTACAACATTAAACTACTTGGAATTAATTACATTAAAAGTCGATATGACGGCCGCCGTCAGTTGTGACGTCAACGCAATAGTGGGGATGAGTGTCACGGCTAGTTCTATCGGTAGGCTACGGCTTGGCGCACCATTTGAACAATACCTCTACTTACATTTTATCTGCTTTGCATTTCATTGTAATGTTTTTGTGCGACCTTGCATTTGTGTATGTAATATTATATACTCAAATAAACCTAAATTTCGCCGACAGATACACAATAGTATATTATATACCGCGGGACTGAAGTAGTACTTTTAATCCCGAAGGTAAGCCCGACCGAAGGGAGGGCCATAATTTACCTGAGGGATTAAGACCATTACTTCAGTCGCAAGGTATATACGATATTTTTCGTACTTCCGAAACTGAAACACTTAATATGTATGGAGTTAGAGAACGCGTTCTTTCAAAAAATCGCTGCTCAACAAGTTACCATAGGAACTGTCATTGCTAGTGTCATAATTTTGGTGGTGGGTGACAAAGGTGTATTTGATATTGATAAAAAGCAACCAAAGTAGGTAAAGAATTGATACCACCGAAATCCAAAAACTATATGAACAGCAGTACGATGCGTTTAAGAAGTAGTGCCGCATACAAAATGTGGAAGAACCTACTGAAATTGCTTTGTTAGTAATTTCATCCTTCCGGGATTTTCGTAAAATTTAATCCCGACGGGACAAAATGTGACACTTCAGTACTTGTCATAATGGAGTGAAGTTGTCACTTTAGTCTCGGAAGTACGAAAATAATAGTGCGTTTCCGTAACCTCTTCCCTATGCATTTCTATACGCGCGCCGGAGTTTGTATCGTGATTGACGTCATACGGCGTGGGGAAAGGGGACACGATGCGCGTTGCGATACCGTTTTTATTATACCATGACTAACGATAAATTCAAATGATTTTGTGAATGTTAAGATGTGAAATTCTTTTGCAAAAGGTGGGGACAAATTTTTATTGTTTTATGTTGTTCCTTTAGAATAGCTTTATGGTCCTAAGGGAGGGATCTAAGATGAATTTTAGTTTAGCTGTTGGAAAACGGCTACTATGTGTGAGCGCATTCGCAAATTCGTTTTTTATGGTAAACGAGCCACTGGTCGTTCATTCGGTTTCGGCATTTTGGCTGCTATATTCTGACCACTAATTTCTCAATACCATATTAGATTAAGAAGACGATGATTCTGAATATGAGTTTTAAATATGCAATATAATTTGCATTGGGGCAATGTACCCTTAAGATCACCTTGCATGGGGGCACTGGCTCCGTTGCCCCCATAAGTCGCCGCCCCTTATTCCGTTTACACTTTTCGCAGTGCCAATTTGAAATGAAATAGCGTATTGTGATCAATATTTAAAATTCAAAGATAAATAAAAATGTTTCAAAACCCACTCGTGGGTGTTGCAGCGCAACACACCTGTAAATGATGACTAAACGGCAATATATAGCAGCTATCAATAAGCGAAAAGCCGAAGTCTCTAGGTGGCCCAAGGGCCGACATTTCGATGGAACGGATAGACAACAGACAGACGATGGAAAATCGAGCACATATGCGTTACCTCAACGTCGTTGTGTTATAGCGTTATGAGAAAATCAAGAGTAGATAGGTACTGAAGATACAAAGTAACAAGTGAATCTACATAACAAACAGTTTTGTACCAATTTACACTGAAATTAAGTACCCTCGTAAATACCTATTAGATACATCATCTTTATAGTCCATGGAAAACGCGTGTTACGCATGATCTCTGTAATTGTCTATCTGTCTGTCTGTCTGTCTGTCACAACCACAACATCTATACATTTGGTCCTAGCGATTAAAAAGTAGTGATACAAAATTAGCTGCTTACGGCACAAATTAGTACAAAATGAGTACAAAACTATGGCAAGAAAATTTGTATGAATTTTTGTATTCGGGGTTGTACCGTTAAGTTACACCTCCAAAATTAATTTGATAGTAGCGGTTGAAGGGTAATGGTACAGATTTTTTTGCTTACGGTACAAATTAGTACAAAATCAGTACAAAATTATAGCACACAAAATTTTAAGAATCTATATACTTGGGGGCGTAGCATTAATTTGCAACCCCAATGTAGATTTGGTCCTTGTGTTTAAAAGGTAGCGGTACATAATTTGGTATGCGCGGTACAAATAAGTACAAAATTAGTACAAAATTATAGCACACAAAATTTTAAGAATCTATATACTTGGGGGCGTAGCATTAATTTGCAACCCCAATGTAGATTTGGTCCTTGTGTTTAAAAGGTAGCGGTACATAATTTGGTATGCGCGGTACAAATAAGTACAAAATTAGTACAAAATAACGGTATTAATATATTGGCTAATCTTAATGGCGGGGGATACAACTTAATGAACTTAATGTTTTCATCACAATAATTTTTGTTTCAGGAAATGCTGGCATATGGGTGCAAACACATACTATTTATTATAAACCAATCAAAGAAGATGCCTCTATAACACACAAAACAAGTAGCGGCAGTAATTCGAGTCATTCAAGTAGGAAGGGTAAAGGTTCTAGTAGTAAGAGCACGTCGCGTCGTAAAGACGAATTGTGGAACGGTAGCGTTAATATCACTACTCTCCTGCGCTTTAGTATTAAACGTTTATTATTTCAGAGGGAGTAACTCCCCCACAGCAATCGCCGATAACCCCATTTTTGAAAACTAAGTTACCTGAATCTGTAGATATTCAAGACGCATCCTTAGAAGTTTTATGTTTACTGCGCATTTTAAACGCTTTAAATTTGTACTGGAACTATTTATATCCGAGCATCGAATATAGGCCGATATTGCCCGCAGTCGACTTTTTGAACAGTAAAATTGCCGCTAAGGCGAGTAGGCAATTGCAAGATCCCTTAGTAATTATGACGGGCAATCTTCCAAGTTGGCTTCAACAAATCGCCTCCGTTTGTCCATTTTTGTTCCCATTTGAAACCCGGCAATTACTATTCTACGTAACCTCATTTGATAGAGATCGTGCCTTGCAACGTTTACTAGATATGTCGCCCGAACTAACCTCGGCCGATTCACAAGAACGTGTGACCCCGCGATTAGATCGTAGAAAACGTACAATTTCACGCGATGACATCCTTAAACAAGCCGAACAGGTGATTCAAGATCTGGCCAGTTCGAAAGCACTCTTGGAAGTGCAATATGAGGATGAGGTCGGTACTGGGTTGGGTCCAACTTTGGAGTTCTACGCCTTAGTTTCGAAGGAATTGCAGCGTGCCGATTTGGAGTTGTGGCACGCACCGGATTCGGCTGGTAACGATTTTGTGCATCAAGCCATGGGTCTTTTCCCCGCACCGATCGGAAGAGGTGCGAAGGTTGGACAGATTAGTAAGACAAAAACTAAATTCCGATTCTTGGGCAAGTTTATGGCCAAGGCGGTTATGGATTCACGAATGGTACAGTTTCATCTTAAGCTTCATACGGGTGCTTACATTTAAACTTTCAGTTGGATTTGCCTTTCTCGTTAACATTCTACAGGTGGTTGCTAGGACAAGAACATTGCCTCACAACAGCCGATTTAGTTCACTTATCGCCCACTATGCATAAAACTTTGAGGAAGATGCAGCACATTGTTCGAAGACGTGATGCGATATTGAATGATCCAGATTTGTCGACTGTCGATAAAACTGAAGAGGTAATTATTGTCCCTATTCCAATAAAGACTTATGCTTTATTGTAGATTGAGAAGCTGGAGTTTGATGGTTGCCCCATTGAAGATCTCAACTTAGATTTTGTACTCCCCGGCTATAACATTGATTTAATGAAAAATGGAAAATCCACTCAAATGTCGATACATAACATGCACTTATATTCAAATCTCGTCACTCATTGGTTCCTGTTTGAAGGGGTCAGCCGACAAATGGAAGCGTTAAGAGAAGGCTTTGAATCAGTTTTCCCTCTACAGAGCTTGAAAATGTTCCATCCAGAAGAATTGGAGGCCGTATTCTGCGGTAATCCCCGTGATACACTTTCAGGATGGGACGTTAAGACACTAATGGACTGTTGCAAACCGGACCACGGTTACACGGCAGATTCGAAAGCAATTAAATTTTTGTTTGAAGTACTCAGTTCCTATAATCGCGACGAACAGCGCTTGTTTATACAATTTTTAACTGGCACACCTCGTCTACCTGTCGGAGGTACGTCTGTCTACGGTAACCGCATTTACTTCAGGTTCAGTTTTTCAGGTTTTAAAGCCCTTTCTCCGCCACTGACAGTAGTACGAAGAACGTTAGAACCAAACCAAAACGCAGATGATTTTCTCCCATCTGTGATGACCTGTGTAAACTATCTTAAACTTCCGGACTACTCCAGTAAAGAAGTACTGAGGGAGAAATTAAGAATTGCCGCATCGGAAGGTCAACACTCCTTCCACCTCTCTTAAAAGACTTAACAAAAAGTGATTACGAACTAATAAAGTAGTGTATATTATAATTACGAACGATGTTGAAAACCATCTAAAACTTGTGTACTCATTACTGATTGTACATACAATCATTTCTCTACTGTCTTTTTTAATAAGATGTTAGCCAGCCCCTCCTTTAATTATTTTGTTTTAAAGCATACAGGTGGCATTGTATGAGAAATCAACTGAAGTCTTGACTTGAGCCTTATTACATAATATCGTGTAAAAATTGTTTTTGTTCTTAGTTTTAGGATTACTCTTAATTTGGA